ACAGGCATGTATTCATGAGTTTTTGGAAGGTAGCTGGGGCATTTTTGAGCAGTAACTAATAGGGCAGTATTTGCTACTGTAATATTGACGCGATCGTTTTCCTTTATTTTAACTAAACAGTTTGCAATTAGTAGTGAATCAGAGATGTGTTGATCTAGGATCATTCCTTCGCGAGCCTCCGGATTATTGACTGTACATTCGATTACAGTTTCAGTGCGAGGGGGGAATTGTATATACTGGTTCGAAAAAATTCAATTTAAATGAATTGGGACCGATTTGTAGTATTCCTTTAGAGTAATTGATTTGGCATTGGAAGTCTTTAAGAAGGTCGTTACCGATAATACCGTCATGATTTAAGTTAAAATTTTGAACAACATGAAATTCGTGTGTAAAATATTTATTAGAATTTGTGTATATTTTCATTGGAAAGCTGCCTAATGTAGGAGTCGTTTTGTCTCCGGGGTCGATTCCTTTGAGGGCTATTATTTTATTACTTAATACAGGAAGGTTCGATATAGATTGAGATTTTAGTAAGCTTACAGACGAGCCCGTGTCTACTAAGAAGGATAATGGCTTGGTTGCAACAGAAGTTTGGATCATAACGTGAGGTAAGTATCTTTTTTCTGTGTTACTGTTTATCTCATAAACTTTAATTTGTCCTTTTTCTGATTTCAGGTTACGTTTCGGACTATGCTGATTATGGACGTTAGTGGGTTTAGAGTATTGGATCGGAGAAATTGAATTAGCGACTTGCAAGGATGTTTGAGGTGATTTGGGAGTACATGATGCCGCGACGGATGCGTAGGATACCTTGGGATTTATGAGTTTTACAGATTTTTGTGTGTGTAAATTAGATTCGGTGGAGTTATTGTAAGTTGATAGAGTCTTTGGTTTTTTGTACAAAGGATACAGTGATGTCCGACTTGTCGGTTTGGGGCTGGTTACTCTGTCGGTTAAGTCGGTTAGATACAGTGGAGCGAGATAGTCTTTGGACTTTGTACAAAAGATACAGTGATATCCGACTTGTCAGTTTGGGGCTGGTTACCCTGTCGGTTCAGTCGGTTGGATACAGTGGGACGAGATAGAGTCTTTGGACTTTTTACAAAAGATACAGTGATATCCGACTTGTCAGTTTGGGGCTGGTTACCCTGTCGGTTCAGTCGGTTGGATACAGTGGGACGAGATAGAGTCTTTGGACTTTGTACAAAAGATACAGTGATATCCGACTTGTCAGTTTGGGGCTGGTTACCCTGTCGGTTAAGTCGGTTGGATACAGTGGAAGTGTCATTTATAATTGATTTAGAATATATACGAGGCTTTGGGCTCGCGGGACACCGCCGAGAGCCCTTTATTCGTTTAAATTGCGGTCAACCTCATCGTATCCTTGGTCTACCGCGACCACCTGTTCGACGGTATGAACTTTACGTGGTGTGTTTTCGCCACGCTGTGGGAATATGTGAGGTGGACTTTGTGAGGTTGACGCACCAACCTGTTGCCTGCTGTTGTTATACTGTCGTTTGCGACAGTTTTCTATACTGTGACCGATGCTTTTACAATATTGACAAAAGACGTTTGTGTTAGTCTTAAAATTATCGGGGCGGAAATTGGGTTGAAATTGTGGATTACTACGGCGAGGCGGCGGTCTTTTATCATTGTATATATGTTGGGATTGTGGTGGTTGAGGTCTTTTCCCTATGCTAGAAAGGATTTTCTCTTCGGCTACCGCAAAGTTAACGGCTGAATTTAAAGAGTCAGGGTCACGACACCTGACTATTTGGGATAATCGCGGGTGGAGTCCTATGACGAATGTGTGGAGGGCTAGATCCTCCATAGCGGCTACACGACCTGATAGTTCCGTTTTCCTTTTGGTTGGGATAGAAATATTTATTTCGGTCAACAATTTAGCCAGGCACGTTTCTATCCTTAAGGCAAATTGATTAACCTTCTTCTGTTAAACCCTGCTTACAGTCCTGTAGGTCCGACAGGAGATGGGAGTAGTGCTTCCTTTCGCCGAACTGTTGTTTTAAAAATTCCAAAAATTGTTCAAAAGATTCGAATTCCTTTATACTGCACATTGTTTCGGCCCTACCTTCTAGTTGGCTTAGTATATATTTAAATAATATCGATTTTTGGGATTTGGAAGCGAGACTATATGCATTTTGGCAATTAGATATAAATGGGTTTAATTTTTCCCGTGATCCATCGAAAGGTTTAATGAATTTCAATAATACACCTATTTCCACCGTTTTTTCTTCCATTTCGCCACGCATTGGTAGGTTCCTAGAGGCACAGGGAGTCTCTTCACACTTACTCATTGTAATTTTGTTATATGAAAAAAGGTTATCGAAAAATAAACGCTTATCGGCTAAGGTATGCAACAATGAACAAAGGGTCGAAGGGTAATGTTAACGTAATCACATTTAACAATGTAGCACAGTGACTTATTCAATGACCGGAACAATGGGTTGATTTATATTAGAAATATTATAGTGTTACATAAAATATGCTTTAAAAATTATTTAAGTAATGTCTTTGCTCTGAGTTCAATCGAAATAATTATTTTTAGAATATCACTTACAAGAACAATGATAGAGTGATGATAAGGCTTGCGTTCATGTTTCTTATGTGTCGAAGACAGAGACCCTTGTATGCCAACAAGGACGGTGATGATGGGCAGGGATCACCCGATGATGAGTAGGCCGTTGGATGATGCAGAGGACCTGTTATTATAACAGGCTAGTTGTCGGTTTCTTAATGCACTTTTCACTTTCTTTACACTTTTATTTCACTTTCACTTTTCTTCGGAAACGTATTCGGGTAGGATTTTCGTATCCCACCGCTGCCACCAATATTATACGGGACCGTGGACAGAGCTTTTTAAAAAAAACTATTTAACACAAGACACAATATAATTCAATAAAATTCACAATAAAATTAATACACTTATAATAACTAGGACTTAGAAATATTTTATAGTAAAGACTTAGTAACGATGACTGATATTGGAATGAGACTTGAAGACTGATTGAGACGGAATGTAGGCTTCCTGTAGACCGACGGAAGACTCACTGTAGACTAACTGGCGTTCGTCGGGAAATCGGTTATATAGGCTTTATGTCGCCTGACGCAGCAGCGTGAAAGAGATGTGTTAACCGATTTCCTAACATTGATGGGGTATAACAGTACGCAGGTTCTGTGTGTCACCTGCAACGTGGCGCTTTGTTTAAGTAACTGTTTTACTCAATACTATTCTTGAGAACGGTATTGAGCAAAACACATATCTTAACAAATTGCTTGTTTCGGTACCTTTGCAGCTGCTCCAACAAACCTAGTGGCTACCTGATAACTTATTGTCAGGCGGCTGATCTTAAGTAATATATATTTACGTAAGGCTAGGTTTGTAGGTACACACCTCACTGACTTAAGTCCCTTTGCTATGTAATAGTGTGTTCTGTGGATGGTGGATGTGGATTAAATAGGTAGGTTCCTTGCCTTTTGTATTCATATTCTTTGTATTCACGATTACCTAGTTTATGATTAAAAAAATTGCTAACTATCCTTTTTTGAAGTCGATTAAAAACTCATTGTGTACACTAATTTTATTTTAAGGTAAAATCTTAACCCATGTAAACATGATAACCAACAACATAAGGTTTTGTCGCAAAAAAAAAGAAACTACATCCTAGACCATGGATAGGCGTATCCATATTAATCACGATGTACGGCGGTATGGCCAATAAATTTTATATTTGTAAAAGCTTATAACTTTTTTTTAATAATAGTGTTCAGTGTTTTTTGTGTGTTATAGAAAGCTTATCTCATGTTCTTTTAGAATAAAAGTTCATTGTTTCGTGTTTTGGCTTTCTTTGTTTCTTAAGAGCGTAGTTTTAAAGGTCGTTCTTCCCAACGCCAAAGCGAAGGGTTTGAGATTTTACCTAGTACATGAAATAAACGCAGTGTTGTGTCCTAATTGTTAACTTATTCCTTTAAGCATGAAACAAACTTTCCAAAAATATATACATTACTTAGACTTAATTCAGTAAGTGAAACAAAATCTAGGTACAAAGTGAGCTATTTTAGAGATGTGTTTACGCCGCCAAAAATATATGTATGTGGAAATTGTTGTTTTTCTTGACATTTCACTATAAAATGATTACTATATAATATGAGGTTAAATAAAATGCAAAAGAAAATCTATAAGTTGTTTAATTTTTTTTATTCGATAGAAAAGTCAGATATAAACCTTTTTTCACTTTCACTTGCATACTATTTCATTATAGAACAATATTTTTTTATTGAAAGTAATATAATGTTGTATTTATAAACGGAAAGGCCACAAAAACACTTGACAAACAGCGCGGCCACGGCTCGAGTGCCGTATCAAGTTACGTTTCGTAGCAATCGGCGCGCGTATCAGGTGAGGGGTTATGAGACCCGCAGGGTTCTTGATCCTACTTACGCTACGCTTCGTCTTGTACTGGTCAGTCTGTGGTAGACCATGGGGCACCCCGTGGTCGATATGGATTCCACCGCATCAAAATGGATCAAGGGAACTGTGCTCAAACCAGGATTACAAGATGCTGCTACAAATATAAATTGCATGTATAAAAAAGAGTTTTGCAGGCAGTTTTATAAACGACATAACAAGTGGCCCAATCTCACATACAGTGATCATTTGAATCCCCCATATATTAGAGTGCATTCTGGAAAACGAGTGGGGAGAGACAACCTCATTGAAGTGGAATCCAATCGACTTGCAGCATAACCAATTACAAAAGAACTTTGAATTTAACTATCACATCGATACAATCGACATTATTTCGGATAAAGCCATCATATCAAGTGCTCCAGAGTGGATTTACGAATATGACACAAAGGCATTTAGAACCATACATGAAAAAATCCCGGTGGGTCCACCCCCTACACGAAGAGCTTAGTCCTACATTTCCATACAACCGAGGTGTTTGATTGCCAAGAAATCATTAAGTGTATATACTCAGGGATCATCCAGACCGGCTGGCGTGTCATGGTTGCTGTCCCCAAGGAACGAGAATTCAAGGAGAAAGATGCGCGGTGCTTCGGCAAAATGTCGCCTGATATGAGGGCCTATCACGTCGTAACAGAGGCCAACATCGGATACTATTTTCACCTACGTAAAACACCAATCGATGACCTTGACAGAGGAGCAACTAACCAAAATGCTGATCCGCATGAGTTGCCCGGGCATCATCATGGTACACCCACTTTTGTGCTGAGCTGGTAGAACTACTGTTTCGAAGTTTGGACCAATTATTCGGGTTCCAGAATTTTTATGGATTTACACACACGTTTCCATTAATATCCAATTTCCTGTTCTAAGATCGTTACGCCCCCCACCCCCCCCCCCCCAACCAGTCAGCCAATGGAGAACCATCGGAAGGAATACCCAGGCGTGTGCACGGACCTGAGGCTTGGTTAGAAGGGCTGAGACAAAAAGGCTGGACACTGGCAACTATCCTCATTATACTTTTGGCCGCACACAAATGCGACACCACTGCTTCTCTCCTAGGGCAAGGAGACAACCAGGTCATAGTGTTGAGAATCCCATCTCAGCACTATCTCTTGGAAAGACAATTAACACCAGATGAATATACAAAACAGTTTTTAAAGGTATTAGAGGATATATGTACTGCTTCAGGTATAGTCATCAAGGTTCCTGAGTCCTGGAGATCTAGACGGTTGCTAGAATACGGAAGGCGCTACAAATTAGACGGAATGCAAGTTAGTGGCGCTCTGAAAAAAGCATCCCGCCTGACTAGTGAGGCCAATCAGACCATACACACCACAAATGCGGTGATCGCGGGCTTATTTTTAAGTGGGCCCTCTGTAGCTGGAGACCATTAATTCCCTGTATACCCGCCTATATGATGACAGAGTTTGAAGCAGCCAAATTCTTATGGAGGCGACACCCAGGATACCGCGAGAAATCTGATGAGTGGATGACCGTGTTATTGTTCATGAATCGGTCAGTGGGAGGATATCCTACTGTCCTGATCCCTCAGTTCGCAGCTCATGCATCCCAGGACACTTTGAGCTTAGGCCTTAGCATACTGAAATATGCTCTTCAGAACAACCTCTTCCGGATGGAAGTACATTCTTTGCTAGATATAAGCAAACCATTACATGTGGATCATATCCAGCTGATAAAAGACCTTGGGAGCATACCGCTCAATCTCCCACCACAGCCGGAAAATATGATTAGACAAAGATTGCGAGAAGGCCTTCCTACCATAGTGAAGAACCGAGAAATGCTGGCAATATTTAACACCAAGGCGGAGGCTGAGGAGGAAACGCTTAAAAAGGATGTGTTAGCTATACGGCCAATCAATCCGAAGTTGTGTAAAATTTAGCAACTTTCTAACATAGGACAAATAGAGAAGGTCATAGGGAAGTTTGCAACATCACGGTCTATACAAGAAGCATCCCTGAACATTTGGATTGACGAAAAGTCCCTATTAGAGAGTGTCAATGCCTTAGAAATGAGGACCTGTCGATATTATCTGAGAACTAAGCACACCCCGTTCACGGGAACACTGGAACACACAGAGTGTGTTACTGTATTGACCCATCAGCTCAGAGACACCTTGTGGGAGTTACCCTCAGAGGAGATAACAATGCCGGCCTCCTGTGACAAGATTACCATCGTACCTTAGGACAAATTGACAGAAAAGATGGTATCCCCGGTTATATTCATACGCTGGTCTGGAAAATCACGTAATGACTGCTTCCACGAGAGAGGACCAAGAAACATAGGGTCTCAAACTAGAACCAGGACTAGAAAAGCTGTATAACAATATCAAGACAGTATTGGAATTGAGAAGCTGGGTAAAGGGCAGTGAGGGTTTACGTAACCTCCTGAAGATCCTCATAGAAGAGAAGACTCACCTCACCATGGCCGAATTGGAGCCTTTAACGGCTCAGGTTTATTCAGGACTGTTGTCACATCGGCTGCCCTGTCCAGCCCTGAGACAAGGTGCCATGTGTTGTTTAAAATTATAGGAGATAACGATGCCGGCCTCCTGTGACAAGATCACAATCGTACCTTGGAACAAAGTGACAGAAAAGATGGCACCCTTGGCCATATTCATAACCTGGTCTAGAGAATCACGTAATGACTTCTTCGGAGCCGAGTGAAGATCAGCGACCGAAGGAAGCCGGAGGTTTGAGCTGAAGCAACAGGACCAAAGGCAAGAAGACCAGGCCAGCGCAGTAGGCCCATCAGGGCTTAGGCAGGACCGGACCTGGAATACTGGTAGCTACCGGAAGAAAGAAAACCGGGATTGCGGCTTGGGGCGCGTGCTCGCATGGGACACGTATCGCAGCCAGGCGCAGGTGCCTTTTGAAGGCGCTCATCGTGGCCAAGCAGGGCTTGGCATTTTTTACTGTCGGGCAAGCGTGTAACATAAGTGTAGAAACATTTTGTAGATACAGTCCACTTAGATTAATAGCTCGCGTAATAGGTTTTAAGGTTCGACCGGGGAATTAGACTTCGGCGACCTTAGGCTCGACGCTCCACCATTTTATGGTCACTTCGGCAGGATTTGGACCGGTGTTTAGTAGTCGTTCAACCATTTTCTGGTCGAATTATTAGATTAATTATTTAGATAATGCACTCTAGTTTATGGAATAGTCTTAAATAGTGTTCGTTCAAATTTAAATTTTGGTTAGGTACTCGCAAACAGAATTATTCATTTAAATAGTGTTTGTATTTGGTTTAAATTTAAAGCTTATTAGTCGCTTAAATAATTGAAACAGTGTAATAGCAATCGTTTTGTACGCGTACCCGACAACTTTGATAAAATTATATTGAGTCTAGCGAGCGACACGCGTCACCTCGACTCGCTGTAACAGGTGTTCGATTTAATTACGTAATACAGCATACGAGTGTCCATCCTTCATTATTTGTGCGTTGTGAGATTAATTGTGATTAATATAACTTTATTACAATAATTTAAAATGGCAGTTAGTGGAAATGAAATTAAAATTAAAACGCTTTATGCCAAGAGGGACATACTTTTTTCACGTATACAAAGTATTAGTGATCACATAAAGAACATCAATGTAGAAGCAGTGCGGGAAACTTTTTTGAATGAAATTGAAACGGTAGATTCTTTGCGGACGGATTACGAAAGAATATTAGACCAAATTAATCATTTGGAATTACAAATCGACCCGAAATACATAGTGAACTACCAACCGCTTCTAGCATTTGAAGATATGGTGTGTCGCGTGAAAAGAACGGAGAAACTCTTACAATCTCAAAACGAAGCAAAGCCGGAAATACATGTACGTCCACGTGACTCAATTAGGTTGCCGCCAATAGATATTCCGGTGTTCAATGGTGATATTAAGACATGGCCCTTCTTCTTCAGTAGTTTTCAAAACAATATACACAATAACCAATCGTTATCGGACGCTGAAAAATTATATTATTTAATTAGTAAACTTAGTGGCAGAGCACAGTCAATTTGCTCTGGTTTTACACCTACAGCAAACAATTACTTGTTAATATTCGAAACGCTTAAAACTAAATATGAAGATAGGAGAATGTTAGCTTCCGAATATTTGAACCAGATATTCGATCTTAAACCTATATCATCCGCGAACATCAACGGCTTAGAGCAGTTTCTAGATAAATTTGTGGCATCGGTGGCTGCACTTAAGAATTTGAAATTTAATGACCTTATGGACGTGGTGTTTCTCCATATTGCACTAAAGAAATTAGACCCCGACACCGTGAGTGCGTTTGAAATGGAGCATCGTAGCTCGGAGATGTCTTCCTTTCATTCATTAGCATCGTTCGTGCGAGATCAAATAAAGGTGATGCAGCGCTCTCCGAACGTTAAACAGGAGATTAAAAGGTGCGTCGACCGTAGACAGACTCAACCATCTAAAATAGCAGCGTCGTTAACGTACGTAACAGCTACGTCAACATCACTTCAGCATACTTGTATCGTATGTAAAGATAAACACGGTAATTTATACAATTGTGCGACTTTTCGTAAATATTCACCAAGCGAACGTTATAATTTAGTAAAAACAAACAACCTATGTCTGAACTGCTTAAGTGATAAGCATTTAGTTGCAAAATGCAATTCGAGTTCCGTATGTAGCAAGTGCGCCAGGAAACATCACTCGCTATTACATTTTGAAAATAGCAACATAGCGGCGTCAAGTAAAGCGGACAAGGAATTCACCCCTACTAAAGTCAACGATTCTAGCGGTCGACCTGGTGATGTCGCTCTGTGCTCATTGGCAAATATGGGAGCTCAACCTCCTTCAACCGTGTTACTGGGTACGGCGCGTATTTTGGTTAGGGATTCGCGTGGAAACGAACAAAGCGTCCGTTCACTGCTGGACAGCGGAGCCCAAAATAGCTTTATAACGCGACAATGTTGTCAGCGCTTAGGCTTAGTAATAAATAGGTCACTTTCGTGTCCTGTAGTCAAAGGCATCGTAGGTACTAGTAAAGCTACCCAGGGATATATAAATTTAAAATTTTAATCTCGGATAGATCGTAATGTTAACTTTGATATAAATGCACTAGTAGTGGATAGGGTCACTGAACGGCTGCCAACCGTTTCGGTTGACACCTCGGCAATGATTGAATTTAAAAATTTGACTCTAGCGGACGACACTTACGACGTTCCTGGAAACATAGACATGCTCATTGGAGCATCGCTTTTCCCTCATCTTTTGTTAAACAATAAGGTCAGGGGCAACTCCTCGCATACCGCGCCTTACGCACTGGAAACCGTATTGGGCTATGTTATCGTTGGCTCCGCCCCCTATCATAGATAGTATTTCGGCAACCTCTTATTGTGGTATGGCTGTCGAACCGCTCGAGTCGTTAGTCCGCAAATTTTGGGAGATGGAGGAGGTGAACGTCCCACCCATAGCTAGCTCAGATGACAGATTATGCGAGGAAATTTACGTCCGCACGACCGTTCGTGATCGCGACGGTAGATATAGTGTAGCGCTGCCCTTTAAAGGAGATGTTTTATCTCTCGGCGATTCGCGTCAAATGGCGGAAAAACGTTTCTACAGCTTGGAGCGTAGGATGCTCGCTTCACCCCAGTTAAAGGAAGCTTATGACGGCGTCATTAACGAATATATAAGAGAAGGTTACATATCACTCGTGGCTTCGAAATTAGATAACTACGAAGACACACCGTCGTATTTCATACCACACCACGGCGTCATTAGGGAGGACAAACTTACATCTAAGTTACGTGTAGTGCTCGACGCTAGTGCTAAAACTAGCACTCACCTGTCGCTTAACGATATCCTCTATAGTGGGCAAAATTTACAGGACAGTTTATTTAATATAATAGCCAATTTTCGTTTGTTTAGTATAGCACTATCCGCCGATATTCGCCAAATGTTTCTTTGCATAGGGGTCCGTGAATGCGACCGTAGATTCCAACGCATTTTATATCATTTCAACCCAAAGGAACCTCTAATGGTGTTTGAATTTAACCGCGTTTGTTTTGGTTTAAAGTCGAGCCCATTTCATGCGTTACGCACGGTGAGACAGCTCGCTCACGATGAAGGTCCCTCTTACCCTAAAGCTAAGAGGGCAATTGAGAGCGGTTTATATATGGATCATTTTGTATACTCGGTCGATAGCGTGGAGGAGGCCACCCTAACCACCGCCGAGGTTATAAAGCTCATGAAATCGGGTCAATTCGATCTTGTGAAGTGGACTAGTAATTCGCGTCCGGTTTTAGATACAATCCCACTATCACACCGTCTTTCGGCGATAAAGGAATTCGACGATTCTGATACACACAAGGTGCTCGGTCTGTGTTGGTCACCAGAGTCCGACGTGTTTAGCCTTAAGGTAAATCCGCCCGTAGAGAAGTGCACAAAGCGCACAATACTGTCATGCGTTGCTAGATTATGGGATGTCATGGGTTTCGTAGCTCCGGTGGTATTATACGCTAAGCTTTTGATTAAACAACTTTGGTTATTTGAATGCGATTGGGATGATTCGCCGCCTGACAGCATTGTTCGGTTGTGGCAGCATTTTAGGGAGGAACTTCCTTTACTAAGAGAAATTAAAATACCGCGTCATATAAACGTCGATAGAAATAGCGTCATAACGGTCGTTGGGTTTGCAGACGCCAGCGAGAAGGCTTACGGGGGCGTTGTATATTTCCACGTTCAGAATAATGGTAGAAATTCGATTAGCCTCATTAGTTCTAAGTCGAGAGTTCTCCCCGTAAGGTTGTCTCTCTGGCGCGCTTAGAGCTTTGCGCAATATTAGTACTCACCAAGCTTATTACCGCAGTTATCAGCGCATGTAGGGATAGAGTTCACATAGAAAGGATATTTGCCTTTTCCGACT